CTATGCATATCAAAAATTTCTAGATGGATGAAAACGCCTTTGTATGAAAGGAAACCACAGATCCTGAAGTATTTGCATGTACCAGTCATTGTGTTTATAGTATTATGGTTGTTTGTTTAAAGCCCTTAATTTTAAAAATGTTCTGGACTTAAAAAAAAGACCAGGGGCTTCCCTGGTGGCTCAGATGGTAAAGAATCTGCCTGCAATGCAGGAGACCTGGCTTTGATTCCTGGGTCAGGAAGATCCCCTGGAGAAGGGAATGGCTATCCACAAAAGATTCTTGCCTGGAGAATTCCATGGACAGAGGAGCGTGGCAGGCTACAGTCCATGGGGTTGCAACGAGTCGGACATGACTGAGTGACTGAAAAAAAAAGGGAGACCACAAATTACTAAAAGAAAAACATAATATAACTGTTAATATAATCCCTAGGTAGGGATGGACTTCCTAAGAATGACAACAAAATGAGAAATCCTAAAGATTTTACTGATGCAAACTTTAAAGCTTTAGCATGTCAATAAAGATTATAAACAAAAGTAAAAGCCAATCAACACAAGAAAAAATATTTGCAGTATATAAATGACAAAAGATCAATATTATAAAAAGCCTTTACAAATCAATAAGCAAAGATGAACCTTCAGTACAAAAATGAGCAAAGTAATACATAGTCAAGTCACCAAAGAGATATAAATGACTGATAAATTGTGGGAAAAATGTCCAGCCATTAGTAACTCAAAAAAATGCAAGTGAAACAGCCAGGTCATTTTTCAAATTGGCAAGACTACATCGAAGCCAAAGCATGAAGCTGTGGAATTTGGCTGCAGTTGACAGACGACAGGCACCATTGAAAGATCATGAACAGGAGTTATCTCATATCAGAGGCATCTGGTGGTACCTTATATAGGATGCTAGAGAGCTGTGAGACCAAAGACTGGACCTCAGGCACTTCCAGAGGTGGGGGGAGCATGAAGCAGAAGAGAACAGTTGTGTTGAAAGCATTCAAAGGAAAAATCAGCCAGTCCTGATGGTTAGCAGGGAGCAGAATTGAGATGGCCAGGGCTGCGGGTGGCACTGTTGAGGGAAAGAAACAAGGATGCTGGGGAGTGTGTCAGGGGAAGTCCAAGGTTAGTCTTTTGACACTGTGGGTCATTGTGTTATTCTAGAGCCTCATTCCTGGCAACCAATTCAGATTATTTGATCTACAAAAAAATTTTTGCTGCCTCACGGAATTGACAAGTCCTGGGTTAAAGTTTTCAGCACATCTGGCTCTATAGCTCAGGGGAGTCATAAGGAGTCTTTTTCTTCACCTTGCCCAAAGAGAGGGCAGAAAGGGCCACCAGCAGCTCCAGCCTCACATCCTGCCAGTTTTGCACAGATCCTGGAGGGCTGTATTGGCCTGCCCTAAGAAACGTACCCAGGACCAAGTGACAGCTGTGACTGATGGAAAGGCCAAGGTCATATGAGCTCCCCTGGAAAAGCTAATGGAGCCGGGCGGTGAGGTCAGCCAAACAACATTGACTCAGAGGGGGAGTAGTTCTCCAAGGGAAAACTGCGGTGTGTATCTACCAAGGGGGGACTGGAGTTGGGCAGGAACACCAACAAAATGTCCATTCCCTTCCACCTCTGTCCAAGATCTAAACAGATCCCCCTTCTCATATAATTTAAAATTTTCCTGTTTTATCATAATGCAGTTAGCCCTCACAAAACTAAAAACACACTTGTCCCATCTCTGGAAGGAGACGCTCCAAGTTCTCCCCCACTTACTATGTCCAGCCCCAATGCAAGTCTTGTCTCTTATGGTTTTGAGCTACCCCTCCTGGTCTTTCCATTTATGGCCAAACTACAACAATGGAGGAAAAGTCGGATAGCTGAAAGAGCAAAACCCTTCCTGTTGAAGCGGGGAGGTGAGGGAGAACACTGCAGGATCATAGGTCCCTAGCCTGGACCACAAGCTTGACCAGTCATTGTGGACAAGGTGCCCTGGCCCACCTAGCAGCCGCTCTGGTTCTGCTGTCTTGAGAGCCTCCATTATCCTTCATGCTTTGTGGCCACGTGCACAAGGGGCTTTGAGGGGTCACCTCCCATTGGTACAAATTTGGGGGCGGGAAAACTTCAGGGTTGAGTAATCCCTGGCCTTTGTTTTCCAGGTTTGTGGGGCTTTCCTGGCAATACAATCCCTTTAATCATTAGAAAGCTCTCCGTCAGTCTGCATTCAGCCATCCCCAGAGCTATTAACCAAACCAGAGACCTCATTGAAAGTTATAATTCTTGAATCAAGTCCCTGGTGATGGTGTTGGGGGAGGAGGAGGAGTTGTCTCTTAGCAACAGATCTTGGTGCTCTGCCTGTCCCAGGAGCCCATGGTTCTGTGGCTCTAGCAGGGCTCTGCCGCAGGGCAGTGAAACTCGTAGTCGGTGGTGAGAGGCAGAGCTGTCTGCCCCTTCTCCCTCAAGCTGCAGCCCCCTGAAAGCCTGCTTGTAATGGAAGCCATGGTGGCCTCTGTTGAGCTGGGAGGAGTTCAAGAGGGCCTGAGGAGTCAAGAGCCTGTCAGGCTCCAGGTTTGTCTCCCTCTGTGTTTCCAGCCTGTCTGTCTTTGCTTGAGCTGACTTTAGCTAGCAGCAAGAACTGGCTCTTAATTATCTGACTCTCAGCCCTATTGAATTACTGGCCTCAGGCAGAAAGGGCCTCTCTGGGCATAGCAGCATTTTCTTCCTTTCTGCTTTCAGATGAGCCCCTTTCAGGCAGAGTATCTCTTTCTTGTTGGACATTTTTCTACAGGTCCCCTAAAGTTCTAGCTCACTTCTAGAGGCAGTGGGAGAGTTTAGTCGGCTGCTTTGCTGCTGTGTAGCAGACAGGCAAAGTGGTACTATCCTGTTTAGTTCAGCTAATTCCTTCTTTCAAAAAAATTTCTGAGTTGGACTTTTTCCTGGTACAGGTAACACAGACTGGCTAAAGCAGAAAAGGAAATTGACTGGCTCACCTAACTGAACAGACCAGGACCTCAAACTGTGTGAGGAATCGCTCTTTCTCCGGCTCAGTCCTACCTCTCTGTATTGGCTTCATTGCCAGGTTCCTCCCAAAGGAGACAAAGATGGCCCTCACAGCTTGGCCCGCCCCTGCGCTTAGAAAGCTGAGCCCAAAGAGGATGCTTTCCCCAGTAATGCCAGAGAAGTCCTGGAGAAATGACTCATTGACTCAAGTTAGGTGATCTGTGCCCATCTCAGGACTCTGATTGGCCAGGCCTATATCACATTCTGACCCCTGGGGGAACCACAGGCTCCCACTCAGACCACATGGACTGAGAAAGTGGGGAAGAAAAGATGGTTCCCCAATGTCCAGGCAGGGCACTGTTGCCAGGAGGAGGACTGGGTGCTGGGCTGGCATAGAGAACAGGCATCCATCCATACACCCAGGTGTAAAGCCAGAAGGCAAATGGAACTTAAGAGTAGGTCAGGATGGCGAGGTGGAGCTGACAGTAAAGGCTTAAAGATATGAGTGAACCAGATAGAGGCAAAGGGGGCATACCTCCCATCAGAAGACAGATGATTAGGAAGACAGCGAGAAGAAAAGGCTAGAGAACCCAAACAGGACAGCTTCACGGCAGCCTGCCCACATGGAGCTGTCAGTGGTATCATCCAAGGGACCAAGTAGGTGAAGACCTTTGATGACAACTACATTGTCTGATTAGCAGATGGCCTGTGACTTGAAACAGCACAGTGACAGCCGAGGTGACTGAAGGCCAGTTACAGGGTGGAAAGCCCACGAGGCAGGGGAAGGGTGATTGGAAGCCAGAGATGAGGCAGGATGGACAGCAGGAGCTGAGGGTGCCCAGGAGTGGGATGCCAGGAAGGGTGGTGACTTGTGCCAGAAGGAACCTGAAGACAAATATCATGGCCCTTGGAGGAAAGGGCAGAACAGGGATGAGAGACAGTGGGACAGAAGCAGTGACATATACACATTGATATCATCGATATCAAGTGAGGTGATATCTTGGTCACTGCAGCTGGTTTGATGAGTGTGGTTGCAAGACATGGAAATAAGCATTTTTTTTTTTTGAGATACAACATACATATAGCTGGTACCTATGGTACACTAAACTTAAGTGTACGTATGTATAAACTGTGTAACTTTATGTATGTACTTGTAGAGCCACCGCTTATAACAAGATAAAGAACATTTTCAGCATCACACAAAGTTACCTCCTGCCCCTTTCTAGTCCAGATGGGCCCCAGAGGGAACCTCTATTCTGACTTCTGTCCTGATCCGTTTAGTCTGTTCTCCATGTGTATGGAATCCAACAGTATGCACTCTCGTCTGGCTTCCGTCATGCAGCATGATAGTAAATGGATTCATCCATGTTCCACGTACCAACAGTTCCTTCTTATTGCTGGGTAACATCCCATTGTGATGGAGAAGGAAATGGCACCCCACTCCAGTATTCTTGCCTGGAGAATCCCATGGACGGAGGAGACTGGTAGGCCATGGGGTCGCAAAGAGTCGGACACGACTGAGCGACTTCACTTTCACTTTCTTTTATCCCATTATGAATATAACACGATTGATCCATTCTACTAGTGATGGGCACTTCGGTTATGTCCAGGTTGTTACCATTATAAATAAAACTACTGCCTTCCCCCCCTCCCCTCTTAGAGAATTCTCATTCTTTCTCACTCTCACACATGCACAGTCCTCACGCAGATACTGGAGCAGGCCAGTCTCCTCTGGGAGGTCTGGCCATTGGTCTCCCCTTGCCCTCTCTTGTGGGCACGTGTTTTCTGGGGAAGTCAGTTTCGTCGAGGGTGGGGGATACGGGTTGGAGGTGGATAGGGCTACCACCCTCCTAAGGCTTGCTCCCCTCTCTTCTAGCCTCCTTGCCCCTGGCTGCCAGCGCCCTGAGCCTGCCTGACCCCTCAGGGGGGCTCGCCCGCGTCCCCCCATGAGCGCGCCCGGCTGACCTCCAGGGCGGCCGCGGTGGAGCCCGGGCGCCACGGGGGCAGCGGGGCCATGGCCTCGCTGGACCTGCCCTACCGCTGCCCGCGCTGCGGGGAGCACAAGCGCTTCCGGAGCCTGTCGTCGCTGCGCGCGCACCTGGAGTATAGTCACACGTACGAGACGCTCTACATTCTCTCCAAGACCAACAGCATCTGCGACGGCGCCGCGGCGGCCTTCCCGCTGGCGCCCGAGCCCGCCGCCCTGCTGGCCGTGCCGGGCGCCCGGCGCGAGGTCTTCGAGAGCACGTCCTTTCAGGGCAAGGAGCAGGCGGTCGGGCCGTCGCCCGCGGCGCCACACCTGCTGCACCACCATCACCACCACGCGCCCCTCGCCCACTTTCCCGGCGACCTGGTGCCGGCCGGCCTGCCTTGCGAGGAGCTGGCGGAGCCGGGCCTCGTGCCCGCCGCGCGCTACGCGCTCCGCGAGATCGAGATCCCGCTGGGGGAGCTGTTCGCCCGCAAGTCCGTGGCCTCCTCGGCGTGCTCGACACCGCCGCCCGGGCCCGGCCCCGGCCCCTGCCCCGGGCCTGCGTCCGCCTCGCCCGCGTCTCCCTCGCCCGCCGACGTGGCTTACGAAGAGGGCCTGGCGCGCCTCAAGATCCGGGCGCTGGAGAAGCTGGAGGTGGACCGACGGCTGGAGCGGCTGAGCGAGGAGGTGGAGCAGAAGATCGCGGGCCAGGTGGGCCGGCTGCAGGCCGAGCTGGAGCGGAAGGCGGCGGAGCTGGAGACGGCGCGGCAGGAGAGCGCGCGGCTGGGGCGGGAGAAGGAGGAGCTGGAGGAGCGCGCCTCCGAGCTCTCGCGCCAGGTGGACGTGAGTGTGGAGCTGCTGGCCTCGCTCAAGCAGGACCTGGTGCACAAAGAGCAGGAGCTGAGCCGCAAGCAGCAGTGAGTGGCCCAAGGGGCCCCGGGTGGGTGTGTCCGCGAAGGTACCAGAGTCGGTGATGGCATCGCTGTGTTGCCGCCACCATCGTGAGCGTGGCTGTGTGTGCGGCCGAGTTAGACGGGCCCTGTGGCCCCTGGCATGCAATGGTGGTGCGCGTGGGGTCAAGAGTGGCGTGAAGGTGTGTGTTTAGGACTCCGAGACCATGACAGTGTGGCCGCGTTCGTGTGTGCGCGTCTGTCTTTTCCTTCTCTTTCCTCCTTCACAAGGCTGTTTCCTGATGGTGACACCAGACTCTTCTGCCGACCCAAAGACAAGGTTCAATTCTCTCTTTTCCCTTTGCTCTTCTCAGGTTTTTTCCTATCTACTGTATCATTCTTTTCTCTCCTCAGAGAAAAACTTGAAAATATCGTTTCTACTTGTCTTCTACTTGTCTTCGATTTCTTTCCCCACTTGAACCCAATCTGATCAGGTGTCCACCTCCATCATTATCCTCCGTGCCATCAATGACCTTCATGTTACGAAGGCCAAGTCATCATCTTACTTGGCCCCTTGGCAGCCATTTGACACAGCTGATCCTTGAAACGTATCTTTTAACTCGGCTTCTAAGCCAAGGTGTGCTTAGAGTGTGCTCCTGGAATTTCCATCTCTTTCTATTGGCTTCCTCTCAGCCTTTGCTGGGCTTCTCATTCCTCTGGTCTTCAAATGTAGACTTATGAAGTACATAGATGTCATCTGTCCCCATCGTGATAAGCCCCATGGGGGCAGGGAGTTTTTCTGCTTTGTTCACTGCTGTAGCCCCAACACCTAGAACGGTGCCTGGTGCCTAGAAGGTGCCCATACATGTTGAATGGTGCATGAATGACTATGAACATGTGAGAGTAAATACTCACATGACTCTTTGAAGTATGCTGTGTGTCTGTGCAACTCCTGGAGGTTGGTGAAACTATAAGTGTGCTTTTCTGCATCTGAGAACATTTCTGAAAATGTGTATGTGTGTGTGTTTGAATGTGTTGGTAGGACCGTGCCTCAGCCTGTGCGTGCCTGTGGATGAACGTTATATGAATTTGTGTACATGAGTGTGTGGGGCTGGCTACTGGGCTGTGTGGACTGTGTGTGCCCCTGATTGGGCTTCTGGAGGGAGGAGGTGGCTGTGTGTGACTGAACATGCCTGTGAGCACTTCTCTGGGGAGCAGGGGTGTCTGCTTATGTGCGTGGGCCTGGGTTGGTGGGGTGTGAACGTATGCATTTCTCTACGCGCTGTTGTGTGGGCAGTGTTCCTGGGTGTGTTCCGCATGTACCCATGTGACCATGAGCAGACGCTGCGGCCAGCTGTGCCCTGTCTCTTCCCACTCTTCAGGGTCTCCTGCAGTGGGTGGGTGGGCAGCCAGGCCAGGGCACTGGGGTAAGAGACTGCTCTGGGCCCAGGGAGGTGGTGCAGATCGACCAGTTCCTGAAGGAGACGGCGGCACGGGAGGCCAGCGCCAAGCTGCGGTTGCAGCAGTTCATCGAGGAGCTCCTCGAGCGGGCCGACCGGGCCGAGCGGCAGCTGCAGGTCATCAGCAGCAGCTGTGGCAGCACGCCCAGTGCCAGCCTGGGCCGCGGAGGTGGGGCAGCTGGTGCTGGGCCCAGCACTCGGGCCCCAGGCAGGACGGTGAGTGCCCACCTGCCTTCCCTCTTTTGCCTGCACACCTGACCCCTACCACCTTGCCTCATGCATGCCTGAGTCCCGCTCTGATACTCCGTGCTTCCTTCTTTGGCTCTTCCCCATGAGCAGACTGCAGGCCTGAAGTAGGGGTCCGGGAATAGGGGAACCCCTCCCTGAGGCTGCAATGAGATACCACCCAGCAACCCCAGGCCTCAGGCAGGGGCTCACCTCTGCCCATTTCTGCAAATGAGAGCCCAGGAGCCACAATCCAGGGTCTGGGGTGCGTGGTGGGCACCGGGAGGGGGCTGGTGAGCCAGCTTCTCTAGGCTGTCTGTCTGTCTGCTTGTCCATCTCTCCCAACTGTTTTTCTTTTTCTCTCTCTTCTCCCCCATCTCTGATCTCCATCTTGTACCCTGTTTCTCCCACTCCTTCTCATCCTCTGACCCCCTCTGCCTCCTGCCGTTCCTTGCCTCTCTGGGGGCCCACAGCGAGAACACCACGCAGGCCCGGCCATGCCTAGCACGTATGCAGTGTCCCGGCATGGCTCCTCTCCCAGCACAGGGTAAGCCACAGGCCTGGCCCGTCCCCACACAGCCCACCCTCGCCTAGAAAGATCCACTGGTCTGCTGGCCCTTCTGGGGCTTGGCTTCTCCTCCTCCCCTCATCCTCCTTGGGTCACCTCTGTCTGCCTTTCCACACTCAGAGAGGACTCTTGGACAGTAGGGTGGGTGGATTGCCCTTGGCCAGTGGTAGGTGGCCTGGAACGTTTGGGCAGGCCTAGGACCCCTTGCTCCTCACCGTCTGGTCCACCCCCCACCCCAGGGCCTCCAGTCGCATCCCAGCTGCATCTCAGAGCTCAGGTTGCTATGACAGCGACAGTCTGGAGCTGCCCCGGCCAGAAGAGGGGGCCCCCGAGGACAGCGGCCCTGGGGGCTTGGGCACGCGGGTCCAGGCTGCCAACGGCGGCTCAGAGCGGGCCCAGCCCCCTCGCAGCTCTGGACTGCGGCGCCAGGCCATCCAGAACTGGCAACGCAGACCCCGTCGACACAGCACGGAAGGGGAGGAAGGTGACGTCTCCGACGTGGGCTCCCGAACCACCGAGTCAGAGGCTGAGGGCCCCTCGGATGTCCCCCGCCCTGGGCCTGCCATGGCTGGGCCGGTGAGCAGCTGCCGGCTCTCCGGTGAGTCCTGAGGGGGTGGGTTCTGAGAGGCCGGGTTTTCCGTGGTGCTGACTGCTCTCAGGGGACACAGGGCTGAGGCAGTAAATTTCCTGGGCTCCTGCACCGCCTCTCCCCTTGCTCCAGACTTCCCACATGTACAGGGTTCTGCAGGCTTAGGGCAGGAGCTGCTGGGACACGGGGATCCATTCCCATGACTTTCGTAGGAGAGGAGTTGAGAGTTGAAAGTGAAGCCGAGGGCCAGTGGGGCAAGCCCTCTCCCATATCCATACAAGGCCACATGCGTATGTGGGTGGGTCCGGGGCCGAAAGTTCAGGTCAGGGTGCATGGCTGTGCCTGGTGACTGCTCTGGGCTACCTCTCACTTGCATTCTGTTCACAGATGCACTGTTTCTATCCAAACCCTTTCCTTCCTCCAGTCTTGACTCAGTTGCCTCCTCTAGGGGATGACTTTGGACTGTGTGATGATATATGACCTTAAAAAGAAAGTTCACTTGAGGAAGGGCCACCTTTTTCTAATTTGCAAAATTAGGGAGGGGGATAATGCAGAGGAGGGGGATGCAGAGACCCTTTGTCCCTCCTTCCCAGTTTCTGGTCCCCCAGCATGGTTCTGTCATGCCCATTCCTCCTGCAGTTCCTGCCCTACCCCAGCTCCCCGCCTATATAACCCCCCACTGACCTCTGACCCTGTGGTATTGTGCAGCCCGCCCCGAGGGAGGCAGTGGGCGGGGTCGGCGAGCTGAGAGGGGCAGCCCCTCCCGCTCCAATGAGGTCATCAGCCCGGAGATCCTCAAGATGCGAGCAGCCCTGTTCTGCATCTTCACCTATCTGGACACACGCACTCTGCTACACGCTGCCGAGGTCTGCCGGGACTGGCGCTTCGTGGCCCGCCACCCCGCCGTCTGGACCCGGGTGCTGCTCGAGAATGCCCGTGTCTGTTCCAAGGTGCCTGTCCCTCTCTGCCATCCTGCTCCCCCAGTCACCCTTGCTGTGACCCCATCTTTTCCCTGGCAAAGTCTAGCTCTGGTCCTCTACAAGGTCTGGTCCTTGTAACCCTTACCACACCCCAGCTTCAACCTGGCTCCCCAAAATGTTCTCCTGAGGCCTCCCATCCCGGGGCTGGTCCATCTCCCGCCAACCAGACTCACATCCCATTATGCCCAGATATCTCCTCTCTCCCTGCAGTTCCTGGCAATGCTGGCTCAGTGGTGCACCCAGGCCCACTCGCTGACACTGCAGAACCTGAAGCCCCGGCAGCGGGGCAAGAAGGAGAGCAAAGAGGAGTATGCCCGGAGTACCCGGTGAGGCCATGGGGTGGGGCTGGGGGGACCACTCCTGGACTGCGGACCCAGAGTGATGTCAGGGTGCTTCCCGGAGGAGGACCTGGCTGCAGACAATGCCCTGACTTCTTGGCCATCCCCAGGGGCTGCTTGGAGGCAGGCCTGGAGTCTCTACTGAAGGCAGCGGGGGGAAATCTGTTGATCCTGCGCATCTCCCACTGCCCCAACATCCTCACTGACCGTTCGCTGTGGCTGGCTAGCTGCTACTGCCGTGCCCTGCAGGCCGTCACCTACAGGTGGGTCCCCACTGCTGGAAGCGATGCCTTGGCCTGAGGGATCCCTGGGCTCTGCAGACGCATACCTTTTTCCCCTCCCCCCAGGGCTCTGGGGCAAAGGGACCCAAGAGCTCTGCGGCCCAAAGGAAAGGAGCAGAGGCCTCCAAAGTGGGTGGCCCTAGCTTTTGTCTTTTCAACAGAAGCGCCACAGACCCAGTGGGCCATGAGGTTATCTGGGCCCTGGGCGCAGGCTGCAGAGAGATCGTCTCCCTCCAGGTGGCGCCACTTCACCCCTGGTGAGCAGAGGCCTTGGTAGGGATGGGCAGGGCGGTGAGTGGGGCTGAGGACCCAGCAGACCTGGGCCCATTCCATGTGCTGTTTGGGGTGACAGATTCACATTCATCAGTCTGTCTTTAGGCTTCAGAATCGGACGTGAGATCATGGCCTGGCTTGCGGGCAGTGTGACTTTGGGCTACCCAGTTGTGCCTTAGTTTCTCAACTGCAGAGTGAAAGTGGTATCAAGCATCTGTGGATCTCATTAAGCCTGTAGCTGGCTCAGATGAGATGTGCGCCTAAAGGCTGCAGAGCCCACAGCGAGTGTTCAGAAACGCTGGCCTGAAATAGCCAGCTTTGTTTGACACGAGAAAGGCAGTTAGGGAGGTCAGTGTATAATCCACAAGAGAGCTGGTCTTCAGAGAGTCCAGGGTGTGAGATCATTCATGGCTCTACTTGGAATTCTCAAGCTGCCAGGCTTTTTCACTCCCTGCACGTGCCCTGCAAGACTCTCTCTTCATGACACCGCCTCCGGGGTCCCCAGTATCCCATCACTAACACTCAGAATTTGTCACTGCTCCCCTATCTCCATTCCTCTTGCACCTTGTCCTAGCCCCTATCTAGTCAATTTTACAATAATTTCTCTATGTGTCAGTCTACACCAGACTCATGTTTCTTGGGGCAGAGGGTGTGAATGTCCATTTCCGTGTCCCTGGTACCGAGCACGTGGCAGCCGCTGGGGATTGTTAAGTGATGAAGTGTTCAGGGAAGTAGCAGGTTTGCTGTGAGTGGTGGGCAAGGCCCATCGAGCACTGAGTGTGGAAAGGAAGGCTGGGCCAAGGTCAGGTCTTGCCTAAGAGATTTAGATTTTTGCATTTATCTAGAAAGCACTGGGAAGCCATTGGGGGATTATAGATCTTAACAAATGGGATTGCATCAGACTGGTAGCATCCTGTGTCTTCCCCTACACTGCGTACCTCTTGGAGGCAGGGTCCACGTGTATATGTCACCGCTGTGTCCCCAGTGAGTGAGTGAAAGGCACTCAGTCATGTCCGACTCTTTGCGACCCCATGGACTGACTGTACAGTCCGTGGAATTGTCCAGGCCAGAATACTGGAGTGGGTAGCCGTTCCCTTCTCCAGGGGAATCTCCCTAATCCAGGGATCGGACCCAGGTCTCCCGCACTGCAGGTGAATTCTGGCCCAGCTGTTGTTCCTGGTCATGGCAGGACGTGAGAAGCATTTTGTTGAATGACCGAGTGAGAGAATGTGGGAGTGAGTGCAGCCACTGGGTGAACTGGCAGGGAGACTAGCTGCATAATCAGCTGAATGCTGATTGTGGTCTGAGTGTGGGTTGGAGAGTTGTTGAGGAATCAGGATCTGCAGGTCTTGGCAGGAAGTGAAGGAGATGGAGTCAGGGAAGATCCCAGGTTTCTGACTTGAACAGTTGGGTGGTTGGTGGGGCCCTCGCCCTGTGGGGCGGGTCCTGACCGAGGAGCGGGCTTAGGATAGCATGCAACCAGGGGCTCCCTGATGACCCTCCCTCCGCCCCATTCTCCAGCCAGCAGCCCATGCGATTCAGTAACCGCTGCCTACAGATGATCGGTCGCTGTTGGCCCCACCTCCGGGCTCTGGGGGTCGGGGGTGCCGGCTGTGGGGTGCAGGGCCTGGCATCGCTCGGTGAGTCTCTCCGCGGGACTGGCATAGGGGGTGATGGGAAGCAGGCATGGGTGCAACAGTGAAATCGTAGCGGGGCTCGGCCTATGGTGTGGGTGGTGGCAGGAAGTGACCTGGGTGTTTGTCAGCAGGCCCTCCCCTCTCCTTCCCTCTTCCTAGCAAGAAACTGCATGCGGCTGCAGGTGCTGGAGTTGGACCATGTGTCGGAGATCACCCAGGAGGTGGCGGCTGAGGTCTGCCGGGAAGGCCTGAAGGGCCTGGAGATGCTGGTGCTCACAGCCACCCCCGTAACCCCCAAGGCCCTGCTGCATTTCAACAGTGAGTGATGGGGAACATAGGTGGGGTACCACTGTTGCCTCTTACCATGTCTTGTCAGCAAGTAGCATAGCCAACTCCCTCTTGCTCCTGGTCAGCAAACACCAACACTGGGGTCAGGTTGACCGGGGTTCTAGCCCTGGCTTTGCCACCGGTGCCTTCTGAGGCCAGGGTGGCATTGAAGGCCTGCCAGCATCTGACCCGAATGGTTCAGTTCAGCCAAATGGGCATGTGTTGCCCTGTGCTCGGAGATATGGGCTGTTCAGCGTCATCCACCATCTGCCCCCACGTGAGCCTCCAGCCGAGGGCCAGGGCTGAACAGATGGGTTCTGGAACTTACTGACCTACGTGTCTCTTCTGTCTTTACCGCTATTAGCTGTGTGACTTTGGGCAAGTTACTGTACTTCTCTTGAGTCTGTATCCCCATCTTTAAAGCTGAATGCTAAGCTGAATGGGCGGGAAGGTTAATGAGATAATGTGTGTGAGCCCCCCAGGACAATTCTCAGGGTGAAGCCTTCAGCACGCCTCTGCTGGCCCCTACGTCCCTCTAGCCCCCACTCCCTCCCTGTGATTCCTCCACCTTTATTAAGGATGCAGGTGCCCAGCTTGACCTGCACACACCCAAGTGAGTCCCTCATGGGGGACCATTTGACCCCTGGCAGGACCCCATATCCTGAGCACTGCAGGTTCCTTGACTTTCTTATCATCGCCAGGATCCTCTTCTTCCCTCCCCTTCAATCTCATGGCCCTGACCTGGGCTGACCGTCAGAACTAACTGCTTGGCCTCCAAAATCTTAACCTCTAGAATCCTCTCAGCCTCCTGACCTTCTTGCTCCTCCTCCCGACTTCATGGCAGCATCCAATCCCTTAAGCCCTCTGCTCCCTGCCTCTGCTCCTCCAGTGCTCTGGCTGGCCAAGACCCAGCAGCTGTGCCTCAGCTACTCTTTTTCTGTAATTCATCTCCACATGCCCAGACCATAGCACAATGGTCCCCTCTGCCAGCGAAGTTGCTGGAACCCCTGCACAGCTGGCTATCATCCACTCGTCCTCCCAGAGTCCACCACAACCTGTGCTCTGGGACCTCACCCTCTTTCTCTCCTTGCCCAGGGGAGCGCAGGGCAGCGTGGATCTGCTCCCAGTGCCTAGCACACGGTTGTCTCTCAGAGTGTTCTGATTTCATTAATTGGTAAGAAGAGAGAAGACAGGCCTCTTGCCCAGGTCAGACATGGGCCCCACCTTACTCACCTTTTCCTAGGCATCTGCCGGAACCTCAAGTCCATTGTGGTTCAGATTGGGATTGCCGATTATTTCAAAGAGCCCAGCAGTCCCGAGGCCCAGAAGCTGTTTGAGGACATGGTAACAAAACTCCAGGTGAGCAGCTGGCTCTGGTCAAGACCCCCTGGGGCACCCCGAGGCTGGGACTGGTGACCTGGGTGTTTGAAGGGAGGGCTCCGCCTACCTTCCCCAAAGGGAACTTACTCAGGTTTGGTCCGCAGGCCCTACGGCGGAGGCCCGGCTTCTCTAAGATCCTGCACATCAAGGTGGAAGGCTGCTAACCCGGGTTGGGGGCGGCAGGGTCCCTGCCAGCCCCACACCAGCCACGCTCTTTGGACCTCCAGAAGGACCCTGATCTGGACTAGACTTTTGGAGGCTTGGTGTTATCCTTGGTTTCTGGGAGAGGGGTTGTCAGTCTCCTGTCCTCCTGCTTGGACGGTGGAACGCAAGCCTGACCCTGAGCGCTGCCTCTCCAGGGCAGGGGCTTGGACGGCTGTCCCCCGACTCCCACCCCACCCCATCTGGAGCAGCCCTCTAGGCACGGCCAGCGAAGAGCTGAGTCTCCACCAGCGCTTGGTGTCACCGCCCTGAGGATCTGCAATAACCACCAGTGGCTCCTTGGCTGCTCAGGCTGTTGGGGCAGGCCTCCCCTTTGTGAGGCCCAGCCTCCTTGTCGGGAGCCTCTGTCAGGCCCCAGACCAGAGGGGTTGCTCCAACAGACAGCTCAGACTTGGCCAAGAGGCCCGTCTCTTCCCCCTGCCCAGTCCCAGCTCTCTGCGGGGCATCCCCTTCAGGCAGCCTGCCAGGGCTCTGGGTCCATATTCTCCAGGGATAACCCTGGGGGTCTTGGGGATGTGGTCAGCTGAAAGTGGGAAGTAGGGGGTTCAGTGAGGTAGTGGCGTGGGCTTGGAAGGGCAAGACATCTATCCAGAACTTCTCCCCAAGACATCCAGGCCACGCCTCCCAAGGGTGGATATTGCCAGGGCAAGAACACTTTGAGTTTTTACTGCTGTAGAGAAGACAAGACTCCTCCCAGACACCACATATCCCGTGACACCAGAACTAAATTCTGAGCTACAAGGTACCTGTTTCTGTACCTCCCACCAACCCTGAGCCTCTGGAGGGGCCAGGTCCCAGCTCTGGGAAATGCTGTCAGCAGTGGGAAGTGGTGCCCGTCCTCAAGGAGTATCCTTCTAATATGGGTGTTTTGGACAGGAATCTGACGGCCTTTGGGTCCCCAAGGTCACGTGAGAGGGAATCACTTGGCTGCCGTGTGCTGGGGCCTGGAGGAGGTCGTAATGGGGGTGGTTTAGTTTGCTTCCTTGTCCGGTTACCTTGCTGGAAGATGTGGCCTTGGTGGGGAGCCACACCTTTGGGGCCCAGAAGGAGGAGCCCCAACATTGGAGGACCCCCCTCCTCAGTCTCCACTGACCCATGGGCTGAGGGCTGTGTTGGGGGGTCTTCTGCCTGGGGCAGTGCTGGGACCTGAACCAGGATCACTGGCTTAGAGTGCAAATGGGGGCTCTGACTGACCCTTGCACAGTTTCCAAAGGGTCAGGTCCTGGCACTATGGCTCTAAAGACTCAGGTCTCCCAAGTTCCTCCTCTTAGCCCTCCCACAGTGGCACAAAGGCCATGGGTCCTGCCAACCTCCATTTGGAAAGTTCTTTCAAACAGTAATCTGGATCCATCTTAGGGTTTCCTTCTCTCTTGCTATAAGATAGGCTTTCAGCCCTAAACATTAGGGCACTGGTTCTGGCTGGGGCTGGGCTCCTCTAGTTTCCCAGTCCTTTCTGGGAACCCAAATTTTCTGCCGCAACCTGGCATCAGGACATCAAGACCCACTCTGGGTTTCCCTGCAACAAGGCCTCCAGAGCTGGGACCCTCACAGGCTCAGAAGCGTATCCAGCTCTCCTGGCTCCCCACACAGCTGTGTCTTGCTCTTTTTGTTGTTGATTTTCTTCCCGTGACTTGTTCTGGCCCTACACCTTGAAGACTCCAAATACCAAGGGTGGCATGTCGGTATCTCCATCTAGTCCTGCACGAAGCCTTGGCTGTGTGGCATCCCCACCCCAGAGCAACTGGTTCTGTTGGCTCTAACCTCCCAGTTCTGTCCCCAGGAGTCATGAAGGAGAAGCACAACTTTCCTCTGTTCTGGGGCCGGAAGGGAGGTGGAGGTCCCCTTGGCCTGGCTGCCCTGGGTGTGTCTGTTCTGCTTTACCAGCGGCACCCTCCATAGCCCCTGCTGCCTGTGACCCCAGGACCAAAGGTACTGCCCTCCCTCTGTCTCCTGGACAAAGCACAAAGGGATGCCTTGCTTGGCCTGAGCCTGTCCTACTGAGGGACTTTTTCTGTCCCAGGAAGCCTCCATCCCTGAATACAAGGCTTTGGGCAACCTCCCTGGGAAGATGCCCAGTGGAATGGCTGCCATTAGTCCTGGGCAAGGTGAGGGTGCACGGGCAGCGAGCTCGAGTGAGAAAGATGGTGCTGAAAGGCGTGGTGATTGTTACGTTCCTTCTGATCAGCCGCGCTGAGCGCCACCAGCACTGGGGGCCGCGGGGTGAACAGGACCCCCTCACCTGTTGGTGGGAAGTTTTTCCTCTCCACGAGCTGGGCTGTTTCCAGAAACCCACCGAGTCCCCCGTCCTTTGTTTTCCAGCCGAGTGTGGGTGGATGCACAGTGCATACGTCCCAGCCCCTGCCCAGATGGGTCACAGCGTGTCCCACTGCACACCCAGGACTGATAGGCTTGTGTGCCCTAGCCTGGATGTCTGCCCTGAGAACTGCTGGGTGTGTGGGCTTCTACCGGTCCTTACCAGCTTGGTGGTAGTTTTGCCTCTCCTCAGGGGGCTGAGCCCTGAGTGGGGGGCACCTCATCTTTCACTTACCCAAAGGGGAGCCCTCTTCCATATCTCACAGCTGGTGAGATGCAAAACAGGAATATCTGGGAGACCAAACCAAGGCAGGCCCTGCTCCAGTGGACCCAGCCGGTGTAGAGGCCCCATGGGTGATGGCCACTCGGTGTCCTTACCACCTCCCTGCCAGCCCAGCACCTGGGAGACTTGCGGTGTTTGTCTTGAGTACATCATGCTTTACTCAGGCTGCCTCCCCACAGCACTGGCAGAGAACAAAGGAGATGATGTATCTGGATCCCTGAGGGAGAGAAAGCAGGCCGCCCGGAACCATGGCTTTCACAGGCCAGAACGCCTGGGGACCACGGCAGAGTGGAGTTTGAGCCAGTCCTTCCGTTGCTGGGGTGGGGCCGGGGAGGGAAGGTGGCCTCCTCCCCAAGCCCTGCCGCTGCGAGGCTTGAGTCCACGCTTTTGTCTGGGTTCTGCATGTCCCCCTGCTCCTGGTCTCTAGTCCTCTGGGCTGTGGATGGGGAGCCACCCATGCCTAGTCCCTCTTGGGCGCGAAGCCGATCTTTCCAGAGTGACTGTTGGTGCCAAAGACTCAATTCCGGGTGGGCTTGGGGTGAAAACAAGCTGGGGACTGGGTATAGGGCCCAAGCACCCGGAGGAGTTAACTCATGCTTTAGGATCTGTCCCAGCCCATCAGTCCCTGAGGAGTGGAACTGCCCTCCCCCAGGGGCCTGGCACTTCTCCCTACTCCTGGTGGCTCTGCTCTCTCACCCAGCCTTTTCCCAGGCCCCATTTCTGTATATACTGCTGTGTAATGTGTGTATGTGTGTGTATTTATTCCTGGACAAGTGTGTTCATCTGCAGCCTTGCCTGAGGATAAGGTTTAGTTAGGATTGGATGAAGATCAGAATAGCAGGGCCAACTAAGGCAACCAGCTCCTAGTCTGACCCCAACCCCTTGGGACCCTGGCCAGTCCCAAGACTGCCCTGACAATCAGGCAGGCTTCCCCGCTGCGAGTCCAAGTCTCGCCTGCCGCTGCTGGCCCAGACCTCAGCTCTGCCCTCGCAAGGGCCTAGCGCTCAGGGTCAGGCTCGCCCTGTGGCTGGCGCCAGTAGGCCTGGCTCGCGTAACCCTGCTGGCGGGGACCTCCACAGCTGGCCCCCATGCCATGGCCCCCTGAACAGCCAGGTGCAGTTGACCTGAGCTGAGAGGGGAGCTTTCCTCACCCCAAACACATCAGGCAGAGGGGTGCACAGCAACTTTTGGTTTTGTTTCTGAAGTGGTGCCTGTACCTCCAGCCCCCAGGGGGCCTCCCCTGGCCCCACTTTTCTGCCCCACCCAGGCACCACCATCCTAGCACTTTGCTCCACATCGCCCATAGATGCCCTTTGCCGAATGTACCCGAGCGTATGTATTTAAAAGGACTCCAGCGGGCATCTGAATTTGTGGCTTTGTATCCAATAAAAGATGGTGAAACTGGAATAATATCTGCCTCAGGAAAGTAAATGGTAGGTGGCCACATTTGCCAGTCTGTCACCAAACCCTCCTGTAGCTGAAATGCACTGAGTTAGCAAGGAGGTGGATGATCTGAATGGCATCCGTGAGGTGAACTGAGGTATTATGAAGACCTGTCTCAAGACAGTAGACATTGCTGGAGGAAGGCCATGTGGATTACTGCCCCCGCCAGAGCTTTCAGCATCTGCAGGTAAAGAGCCTTGAGGTCATTTCTGACCCTCAGCCAGAGAAGCCATCTTTAAGGGCAAGCCCAGCAGGAACAGCACGCACCTGCCCATCCCCTCATTGGCTTGGTCACCAGAGGGCTCCGGCCAGCCAATCCAATTTGGCCTGATGGAGACCAAGTTTGCCATCATGGTCTGGCTCAACATTCCATTTTACAAAACGGGGTTGCCCCCACTGATTTGATTCCTCAGGTCTTAAAATGAAAATCAGAAAATTCTAAGAACAGGTGCTTAGGCTTAAAACTGTGTGGCTCTAACATCAAACAAGTAGCTGAACACATCCCCACAACTCTGAGTCAGCTATTATCATTATCATACAGGTAGAACTAGAAAAAATTTACTTGAAGACCATCAAGTTAGAAGGGATGCCAAACTCCAATGTGTGGACCTGCCACCACCTCATTCTACTTTTGAGTTCCATCAAACTCCAAGTGGTTGAAACTCAGATTCAGGGAGCAGAAGCTTCCCATTAATTAGTTAACTGCAAGCCAACTCTCGGGACTAGCATAAATGAGGAGGCAGTTAGAATGCTGATTTTATCTGTGCTGGCCATTTTCAACTTTCACTGGTGAGAAGAAAGCAGAAGGGACCCCCGAGGACCATTAGTGGCTGAACTCAGACCAGCTGGCTCCTTCAGTCACCTCCTCAATGGACACCCTTCTAAGAAGTCACAAGAGTTTAGAAACATTCCTTTAAGAGTCCTTAACCTCAAGATCTTAAATAAGAGAGATTAAGGGACTGAGCCAAAAGAATACAGAAGTAAAAGAGGTAGACAAGATAATGTAATGCATTTAACAGAAACCCAGAGAAACCCTAGGAGCAGTGCTGGGCAAGGCCAGGGCTAAGTAAGATGACATCAGGAAAAAAAGGAAAAAAGAAGGAAGCAACTCCATATCTTCCAGCTGCTTCTAAGACTGAGAAAGCAACTAAAGCAAAACTTCCAGACAGGAGCCACTCAAGTGGAGCGCCTCCCCTGGCCGAGTTCTCTTTTCTACCTGCTGGGTGAGTACATGTAAAGCTACAATTCTGAGACATTTGAGTAAAATTCCTGCACCCAAATAATGTGCAAAATGGATTCTAAGTCTTTTAAGTTTTATTAAATAACCTCCAGTGAGAACAGAGTGGGCCAAATACTACCCCTTCCTTGTAATATCTGACCAAGACAGAGTAAGCACAGCCTGCCGGCCACTCGTGTGAGGGCTGGGGAATCTCTCAGTGAAGGCGGCCACGACCTCGGCCCCGGCCAGCAGCTGGGGAAGCATCCACAGTCGAGCGAGGGTTCTTGATGGTTTCATCTACAGACACGATAAGGCAAGCAGCCTCGGAGGCCGCAGTCAGGGCATTGATCCGCACCATTGCTGGCTCCCACACAAAGGCCTCAAAATTGTCAGCAATGTCTTCATTGTTGATGTCCACCCCGTACCACATGCCCCCCTGAAAAAGTAGAAAAAGAGGGAAAATGATATGAACTGCTCTCAAATTTCTTCCTGCACTTCCTCTCAATGACTTAGATTGTGAGGCATCCTCAGGCTCTCTTGAAGCCACTGGCATCTCCCTAAGGAAAATGGCATTCCAACAGGAGCCTGGAAGCCTCTTCCCATCCCTGCCCTCCACCACCCCTCCAGACCTGAGAAGTGCTGACCAGGGCATCTCCCAGGCAAGCTGCTGGGTTTTAGGAAGGCCCTATTCTCACCCTCAGGTCATCTGAGGACTGTATGTCAAACCATGCGTTTCAAGAGGATGACTTTCAGCCCCCATTTTATAGATAAGAAAACTGACACAAAGTGACTTGCTTAAAGTTCTAACAAGTCAGAAGCAAGGTTACTCACTGGGTGCTGCTGCCACCATACTGAACATTTAGCAAACATCTCTAAATGAGTACCTGCTGAACAGCAGAGGAACAAATTAAATTCTCAAGAGATGCATGCTCTACATGGAGGCAGGACAGCCATGGCTGGACTCCTGTCAGCAGGGCCCTGAAGTGCTGGAGGAACACACGAGGAACCCACTACACACAGTAGGTAGTGCATGCCTCCAGGCAGGAGGCTACCGTGTCTCTTCGTTCCCTCAGTGCACCAAAAGGAGTGATCAGACTCTTGCAAGAGGCACTGAAGACACCCTGGAACAACTAGTCCTGACACCATGTCTTTCCTTTTGCCCTCAGAGGAGGCAGGCAGTTGGTGCTGGGTTTGGTTTCAGCACCATCCGCTGGGCTGACCACGCAGAGCCTGAGGAAGCACAGCACATGCTAAGAATCCAGCCCCATCCACCCAGTCCCTGGACTCAAAGGAAAGGAACAACCCACCTGGGCGTGCCGAGCCCGTAGCTTGTTGAGGATGTTTGTGGCATCAAAGCCAGCGTTGTCACAGAGCTGGCGTGGGATAATTTCCAAGGCCTTGGCATAGGCCCCGATCAGTAGCTGCTGCTTTCCTGGAATGGTTCTTGAGTAATCTCGTAGGTACTTGGAGAGCTCCATCTCAATGGCACCACCACCGGCCACCACTGAATCATTCTGCAAAGACCAGACTCACCTCTAAATTCAAGGAGCCCTCTGTCTAAGCTCCAGCCATGGCCAAATTGGGCCACTCAGTCAACAGGCCCTCTAGCCTAGAAACAGGGTTGGATCCTTGTTCCCACCCCCAGTCCAAGCCCCAGGAAGCCTGGACATGGACCACGTCTAGCACATCCCAACTTCAATCTGGTGAACCATGTGGTTTCTGACCATCTTCAAGGTCACCTACACCTTGAGAGCACTGGCATAATCCCTGTGATGGCTGACTCCATCAGCTCCACGGTTGCTCACAAGAACAAGTCTTAGCTCTTAAGGTAGCATGACTTATTTTGAGAGACTGAGGATGTTTATGATCCATGAGACAATCAGGGCCCACATGCCCCACATGGAAGGACAGGATATACAGGAAAGGGATCACCACACAAACCCAGGGTCGCATCAGCTCAAGAGGCAGAGTGGGCTGTGCAGGCTGGAAGCCCCCAGTCCAGTACCTTGATGGCTCTCCTGACAATCATGATGGCGTCGTGCAGGGACCGCTCTGTCTCCTCCATAAACTGCTCTGCACCACCACGGAGGATGATAGTACATGTCTTGGCCTTGGGGCAGCCAGTGAAGAAATTGTACCTATACGCAGGATCAAATTGTATTTGTGAACTCCTTTCTGCTGCCAACCCACAGTGTTCGGACCTCACCAAGTCCTCCCAACACTCAACAGCTGCTCTTCTGTCCCTCACTGAAGTTCTCCAAGCCTACCCTTAAAGGCGTGTTCTTGGGAAGGTCTAGGGCTGTGCCACAGGGGCATGAAAGACTGTGGAGGCAGACTGCAGACCCGATTTGACCTTCTTCCTGGAACACTTTATATAAGCACTGATATATGAGCACTGATACACCCCAAGAGATTAAGACCTCAGAAGAGAGTAGCACATGTTACTGTAGCCTGCCGGGCTCCTCTGTCCGTGGACTTCTCCACGTAAGAATACTGGAGTGGGCTGCCATTTCTTCCTCCAGGGCATCCTCCCCACCCAAGGACCGAACTCGCTTTTCTTCATTTCCTGCAATGGCAGGTAGGCTCTTTACCTCTAGCGCCACCTGGGAGACCTGTTATATATACACACCACAAACCAAAGATGGCAGAAGGCCATCCGGCAAGTATCGTGAGCTAAGTGAACAGGGAACCCAGGCCCACCACTCACCTCTCGCCTCCAATCTGAGTCTCTTCAAAGACCTGGCAGTGGCCCAGAACATCTGATG